AAGGCAAGAAACATAAATGTACTGTTTGCCGCATTCGCGTTTACTGAAATTTACAACAAATATGAACATTTGAAAAATGAAATTTTATAACAATAAAGATTACTGACTCATGCGGATTTCAAAAGGATAAACTTATGGCTTTTTAAAAATTCCCCATGTTTTCGAGTGTTTTACGTAATAGTGGTCAAGCAATGAGTAACGGTAGTAAGATACTCGTATAAGAACGCTGGGCATTTTTCTTAATTATGATTAACGCAAAGTGGACAGGTTTGAAGAAATGGATTTTGTCCACTTATTGCGCCTTTCAAACCATCGTGCCCCTCCGTCTGTCGTCATAAACGCATGCAGTGGACGGGCCGGAACGAAACGGTTAGGGAGCCTTAACCTCCAGCTCAGAGCTCAGAGGACGGGGGGGAGTTATGTTAAACGCATTTAAATAAATGAGCAAACAGATCGAACAAGCAACTCCTTGTAAGGAGATTGAGAACTAAGAATTGAGTTTTTCCTTGCAAATGCCCAAGGCGAGCACAGACAGGTTCCAACAGGCGCAGCACTCACATAGAACCGAATGTTTGATATTATATCATAACAAATCACAGGCTTCTCAAAACCAATTTCGGAATTGTATTTCTTCAATACTCCACCATTGCGTTTTCAAACATTAATGCATTTATTCTTGATGGTTTTAATAGAGAAATATTTTTAAATGTGTACCTAATGATATTCCAAATAGTATTCGTTTTAAAATCTGAATTACTTTTGTAACGTACAAACTCGTATGTCTTCGCCCTTGTAAGAAAAAACAAAATACTAACAAATTGAAACCATACAAACCTCGATGATATTGAAGATTAATACAATAAAGCTTCGATGTGGACGAACCCTTCTTACTAGGCGACAACAGTTCTGGACTCAACTGAACGCACCATTATATGCCAATGGAGATGAAAATGGGCATTTTTGTCGCTCAAGAAACGACCTGCATAGATCAAACATTAAAGGTCTCTGAGAAATCAAGATGATGCGGAAAACTCTTGAAAAAAAGGGTCCAAGGACCATGGCTTATGTAGGAAATCACTGCAAGAAGGGGAAGGTTCCTTCTCCGTGTGTGTCTGTGGTTAGGAAAAGAAAACTTTTCATTACATCGTGGGCGAACGCTCCTTAACATTTTTAGGGAAGTATTACTGACACACAGTTCAACACACGAAACACGAACTTTGAAATTTTTAAAGCAAATTTTATATTTCTTTACAGTTCATTCTCATATTAACGTGTACATGCAAAGTGGATTTCTATTAGAGTGTATTACAGAAATGCGAAAGAAATAAAGCAACATTTTCATACATGGGGTAAGATTTACGCAAATTAAAGAAAAAATATCTTGCACTCCAACTGTCACTCAAATAGACCCCCAAAATGGGCAATATGTACTCTATCGAGTCCAACCGTGACATGCAATGAGTGCTTCATATATGAGAGCACAGCGGCTGAACCGGTGTGTGACTGCACACGCACCACGCACGTGCCTACTGAGGCGGCGGCGGCGGCGGGCTGCTGTCGTCTCATTGTTTTTGCGTGGCAATCTCGGCCGGCGAACTCCGAAGGCACGCGGTGATGAATCTAACACTTGCATGATGGAAAAAGCGGCATGCGCGATACACACGATTTTAAAATTGAACACTACAGATCTTGTAATTCGAATTGGCATCGGCAGGTTTAGGTGACTCAGTGCATCAATTAAGGTCTCTGCAGTGCCTCTCACCGGGAAAGCGTAGAGTTCGAGTCCCGAAGATGGCAAGATTTGCAACACTAGCTACCTCACTAAGTCGAATTTATCTGCTAGGTTGAAGCCCAATCTGGCGATCCCGCGGGGGAAGAACGCAGCGATAAAACATGCACTACACTTACGGGACTAACGACCTTTTCCCCCCCCCAGCAAAATGCGCCCGTAAACACTAATCAATCAACGGGTCGCGACAAGCGACTTCAATTCACTCTATCCGAGAGTTCCCAAGGTATATCCGTAGTGGACTGTGTATTGATTTTATTCCCAGATTTCCTGCTCTTTGGTAAAATGTGTGATCGCCGCTCCACCGCGCCGCGGGCCACGAAGCTTTCCTGGCAACGGAGGCGTCGCGAGCGACTTGGGAGCCGTCGGCACGACGACGACGAAGAAGAAGGCGACGGCGGCAACGGCGGCGGCGGAGGCGACGACGACGAAGGCGTCGGGGCGGGGGCGGCGAAGGGGATTAATGAACGGGCTGCTCCCGCCGCGGCGCGGCTCGGCGGCAGCGCAGGGCGTGAGGACGTCGCCGGGAGGAGGGGGAGGAGGGGAAGGGGCGGCGCCGGCGCAGGCGAAAGGAGGGCGTTAATGTGGCGGCTAATTTGGGGGCGTCGCCTCCCCGCTTCGCGCCGCTGACAGGTGCCCCATTCGTCACGCCCCCGGCCCCCGGCTCCGGCCCGGGCCCAGGCCGCCGCGCCGCTCTGCCTCCGCCCCTCCACACGCGGCGCGCCTGCGCCATTTCAGATGCCGCGGTTTCTCTCCGCAGCGCTCGCAGCGCCAGCGAAGCGCTTTCGGGGTACGCATGGACGAATTAGTACCTTCAAGGGATATCAAGCACTACCATCCCTAGGGGCCTCCAACTCGTGTTGAAATTCTGATGAAAATGATGTTGAAAATTGAAATGAAGCTGATGTTCAATGTATCAAAATTACTCACAAAATAAACTACAACCTTTGTAATTTATGAATTTAATATTTAAGTTCTCCCAAGCTTATGAACCAATATACGATTTCGATAAAATCATTATTGGGCCTCCTAGCGACCAAATGCTCCCAACATGTTCTAAGCATTATCCACTCCAGTACAGAAGTCACAATCCTGCATTTCAAAGTGTCTTATTTCCTCCATTTACATATCCTCGATCTTTGCTCGAGTTCGTTTGCTTTCTTTTTGCGCTGTACATTGATGTTATCGTGATGCATTCTCCAGTAGTACTACTTATTGTTCCTCAGTGTTGATTTGTTAGCTTTGGGCTGGCGAACAATTGCCGTATTCAATTTTTGAAGTGAATTCTTTAGTTTTTAAGTTTCATAACCTTAGTGTTACAAAAGACCTCAAATGCACTACAGGTGCAGGTGTAGCAAATGTGTCTAGGAGTCTAGTTGTCAAATATCTTTAGCAAAAACGTCCAGGTATAGCAAATATGGTAGCCATTTATCAAAAGACGTTTATTTCAATACTATGTTCTCTTAGCGCTGTGATATAAAAACACAAATACATTGGGTTGAACGAGCCAACGACGATCAATCAAGAGGACAGAGAGTAATCACTTCCTGAACATACCATCTGCGGCTACAAATTATCGCAGTACAGTGATGGTGAGGTAGCAGCAGCACTCAATCTTAGTTTGTTCGTTATTTTCAAATTCCCCGAAAAACAACCGAATGAAATGATATGCTTGTAGGTGCTGTCGATGAGCTAGTCCAATCTTTGGTAAAAGAAAGTCTAAGATATATTCGGTAGTTAATCTTCTTAATATTTTGAATTTACAAGCAACATCTACTACAGCATGGATAAGTGATACCTACAATTTCTATTAAGATTTATAAAAATTACATTCTGAGCGGTCCACGATCTCACGGTGCGCGTCCAAATAATCGCAGAGAAGAATACAACAAATTGTTGAGTCACCCGGTAATGCAGGTCGTGAAACTACCATGCTTTTTAAAATCTTTGAATCTTACATTTAGCTCCTTAGGAAGCATTTCGATCACAAATGTAGAGCGTCAACATAAAATCCTCTCACTAGATCAGGACCATACGAAGCCGCTCGTCGGGTTCTGTGCAAAAAAGCTCTCTAATGACGCTACAAATAAACGTGATACCATCATATCGTCGCCCAAAGTGCTGAACAGCTCGAAGGCAGTTCTCTTCCTCCGGGAGAGTCACCACTTCGCTCCACCAGCGCCGCTACGGCCCTCCGTCACCGCATCGCTCCCGTTCCCGTCTCATCCTCCCCTTCCTCGACCGTCTTTTTTTTTCTCTCCCGGGCGAGCGCTTAAGCCCTCCGCTCGAAAGCTCGAAGAGGCCGAGCATTAATTCCGCGCCGCGGGAACACGGTCTAAATACTTACATCCCCACAAACACTTCAACGCGCACGAAATATAGATGCGCGCCGCCTGCCCCGCCCTCTTCGCTCTCGTCTCCGTCTCTCTCTCTCTTTCACGCCGCCCCGCCCCCGCGAGATTCGAATGAAAGATGTTGCCAAGTTTATTTATACAACAAATCTTTGTATATATACAACAAACGCCGTAATCTTTGGGAAACAAGATTCAAAACAACTAGGCATTTTCCTTTCAATTTAGCAAAGCTGTTGCTGCGTGCTAAACCAAAGCATGTTCAACTTGAGCGTACACAAATAAACACGGCTCCAGATGCAGATCGGTGGGTTTCCAGCAGAATATAGTGTTGTGGGGATGTAGGATATTTGTTTGAGAACTCGGGGCCTGGAAAATCCAGTTTTGTAAAGGAAAAATAGGAAGTGGTTGATAACACGTACCTTCCGTGTCATATTTCGGTCGTTAAAGCTGATATTACTCTCTTTAATCCTGTATTCATTATGTCAGTTCTCTTTCATTAAAACTATGAAGTCACACTGAATGTATTTCCCCAAACGAAGTTTACGCTTTATTGTCAAAAGCAGTCACGAGAAATTAATAACACTGTTTTATCGTTGTAAGTTGTTTTAGCATCTAATTAAGCAAGGTTGATAATATGAAGTTGTTTATTTAACATCTAATTAAGCACTGCTGATGTCATTAATTCGTATATCTAACGGTGCGGTTGCATTTAATAAAACATTGAAATGTATTGCCCAAGTCGAGCGGTATTTCTAAAAACATCCTAAACCATACTAAAGTGCAAACTATACATTCCAGATATTGTAAAAAATTGGCTCTCCTTTTTCTAGAAATACAGTATGTTCAATAGCACTCACCATGCAGTGGGGAAGACGCATCGGTGAGAGTGTACGGCTCTTGTTTGATCTTCAGTGACAATCCAGTGTGGTCAAGATCCTGGAAACAAAATCATCAAATTGATCTCAATACGCAAATTGCCTTTTGACGTGGAAACTATACTTCGAATTTTTTAAATGGTTGATGACATTAAGTCATTGTTACATCTCTTGCCTTATAAAATGAATCTTTTAACAGTGTTAAGCACATTTCTGAGTTCATGAGCCCCGTTGAGAAGGACGTTCGCAAATTAATTTAAGAGATTCGTTTTGTAAGACAGAAGGTGTAACAATGACCTAATATCATCAACCACTTTTAAAAAAATTGAATTATAAAATAAAGGTTGCTAAAGGACATGTTATTAAAACACTGTATAGCTTTGGAATTTATATAAACAATTTTTTTTTGAAGAAAGTCACCGTTCATCGTTTACAAACTAATTCAAATAATTAAACTCTAGAAATTGCAAACGATTGGTTAAAACTTGAGCATGTAGACGTATGCATGTAACTTCCGATATGAAAGTGTTGAAGAATGATTATATCAAATACTTTAACTTTGGAGGCTGATATAATCGTTCATTAACAAAGTGAATGAGATAAAAAGAAGCAAGTTCTCTTCAATGGAAGACCCAAAATGGTCTCAGTGATGTCAACAGTCTTCGCCGCAAACTCTCCGCGGAAACGGAAGTCATGCGGATATACAATAGAATCTCGGAAATGAGAATGCTTTTTTTAGGAACATGACACTTATAACATTATATCAAAACAGTATTACTTCATCATAGACAAAACTTCAAAATATTATGAAACCACCGTAATGTCAACTTGCATTCTATTTTGTTTTTTCTATACACCACACACACACACACACTTGTGTGTGAAGTCCAAGAGTTAAGAACATCCACATATAGGATTTTGGCGTGTTTTTGGACGTGTTTGTAATCTTACAGTTATATTAGACAGTGTTGAATTTCTAATATATTTAGTTTCAATTGGTTCATTTGCTCCCCACTCAACGGTTTAACAATTAACTTCAGTCCACTTACTCATTACTTCAATTTCGTTGGCATTCAAAATGTTATATCAATGTATTTAAAAATATGTTTTTATCTATACAAACCTATGTTACTGATTTTCTAAAAAACAATACTGTATGATTGTAGCAATAAAATCAGTAGTCAGTTACTTTCAGTCTTAAAAAATCTCAATATCTTTATTATTCTACCAGACTTCGCACAGAAATAAGTCGTCGATAACTAGAGTTGTATCTTGGCATACTTACATTCAATGTATTGAATTTACACTTCATTAACAAGTATTTTTTCTAAAAAGAATTATCCGGAGTTTTTTATGTCCATAAGACGATTTGTGCTCATAATGGAGCGTGCCATTACATGAGCCCATTGGAAATTAATATTGGAAGGTTTATTAGAGTTGACAACAAGTATAGGCCAAAATGTGACGGTCACACTTGGCAACACATGTGTTTCTATAAGAAAGTCAAAGCGTCCGTCTTCTCCCCTCTTCCTTGCCGGCAAAAGAAAATCCTGCGAAACGTCGACTTATTGCCTCGGAAAGCAAGACGAATCTTGTTTTCACACAAGATATCAATCGACTCCGTAAGCAACACGACAAATCAGCATTGTCACGAGGTTTGAACAAATATTGTCTTGTGGCAAATAAAGTTTTAAGGGGATAGACTAAACGTAATCTCGAAGACGAAAAATCCACAGTATGACTCCCAATCATTACTTAAAGATTCTGGTGGAAACATTGTTCTAAGAAAGTGTATATGCACGATACTGGAATTCGAGGGTGTAAATATAAAATAGAACGTGTCAGTAAGAAACGTGCACAAGTTAGAGAGAGACACGAGAGAGACGAAAGAGAGAGAGACAGACAGAGAGAGACAGAGAGACAGACAGACAGAGAGACAGAACAGACAGACAGAGAGACAGACAGACAGACAGAAGAGACAGACAGACCAGAGAGACAGACACAGAGAGACAGACCAGACAGAACAGAGAGAGAGAGAGCAGACAGAGAGAGAAAAAAGAGAGGAGAAAGAGAGGGAGAGAAAGAGAGAGAGAGAGGGGGGGGGTTGAAAACCGACAGGAGGGTGTTTGTCTGAGCGGACGTTCTGCAAAATGAAATAAAAAACATTTTATCCTATTTTAACATTTCTTTGCCTTAAAAATAATTTGATGTATTCCAAGAGGAAGTTGAATATTACCAAAAGGGATGGAATTGATTTTTGACGGTTTTTGTGATTTCCCTAAATAAATGTCAAAGAGTAACTCGTTTTTGAAATTTCTTGTTACGGTTTAAAAAACTAAAACCATAATGTATTTCTTTCTTATTAATTATAACTTAAACAAATATTGTACGCATGTACTCTCGCACTTCAGCCGTATAAGGGTAGGGCCTGAAATGGTGTCCCATCCTAACGGCTATAGGAACCGAACACGCGCGGGGTAAATCAGGTCGCAACTCCTTTCACCATTTATTACACATTCTCAATCAAAGGAAATCCTTCATCTTGACATAAATGGGACGTATCTGTGAAAAGCAATAACAAATATTACGACAGTAAAATATTTATAAATCAATATTTTCTGCAATACCCAAGGAAATATTACATATTGGTGACAATTTATAAGACGCAATCCTGTAACTTTGCTACTGCTGAAAAATAACCACACTAGAGCAGCAAATAAATTTAAGATATATATATATATATATATATATATATATATATATATATATATAATACAACTTTTCGATCCAGAAGCTTCCAAATGATAAAAAACCAAAACATGAATTTTCCAGATTATGCCAAATTCCATTTAATTTTAATTTCTGACTTTTCTAGACTGTTGCATACACTCAGATCCATTTGAACCCTTCATAATAACATGACTTTTCCTGGTTACACCAAAACCAGATTTACCAAACTTTCTTAGACGATTGTTGTTGTGGTTGTTTACTTATTCATGCGCGTCCGAAAGATCATAGTTGGCCTCTCCAGGCCCTCTACTTTGTGTGATTGTTCGGAGATTTCCAGGCTGTTTGTTGCCCGTGATGTCATCAAACCACGTCGTGATCTGCAGACCTCCCCTCATCTTTCATTCTACCTTACAAACCATTGTACCCCCATCCAGCGAGTAGTGTCTTATTGAATAGTCGAATAACTTTCATATCTACTCGTAAAATCTGGTTTCATAAAGGGTCAATTTCGTTTAGTAAATAATTATTGTGGTATTTTCGCTGTGTATGTACCGGGATTCAAAATCGTCTATTTGTTTTTTAAATAATTTAATCTTACCCTTCCCTGCCATTCTTGAATTTCAAGATTTTGAACCGTTCATCTTCAAAAATACCAAGTTATACAAAGTGTTTCTAAGATTTTCCCACGCAGAGACCTCTTAATAATTATAACAGCTTCAAAGGTATCCGAGTTGGTTTCACTTTTTACATGGAAGAAGCAAAACTGATTTATTCGAAATTACTATTAATAGTATGTGGGTAGAAGGAAAGAAAATTAAGGAGGAGTAGAAAGTCTTTAGAACGACGTGAGTTGATTCGTCGTGAAGGTTTAAACTGAGGTTCCGATATCAAAAGTACTAGTGCTGCGACTGAAGTGACTTGCGATGGGTCAAGGTGGAAAGGCGGAGAGAAAACGCGCTGAGGAGTCTTTTATTCAATATTTATATGTCTGTTCGTATTACTATCATTTATTTAATATTGATCCATGTATTTGGGACATACTATTATTATTGGAATTAAATAAATAATTCAAGAAATTATGAATTCATTAAAGACGCTGTTTCAAGGATATTATTCTCGCCTGATCATGAGGAAAATAATATCCCTTGAAACTGTTTTTTTAATAAATTAATATTTACTTCAATTATTTATTTAATTCCAATAATTATAATCTTTTCCAAATACATGGACCAATAATATATAAATGAAGAGTATTTTCCCAACTCTTCTAATTTTTCAGCGATTCTATTGTTAGTGCCTGTAGTTAGTGTCTATTCTTCGACGCTCTGCCTTAACTGTTCACCCCAACTGGTAGGTGCTCTCAAATACTCCTGCGGTGGGTCTCGAACCTCAGACCTGGTCTTGGAAGGATCGAAGCTGCGCCGTGGGCCACAGGAGGCGACGCGAGTCTTAAATTCGCAGCTCTAAAAGCGACGCGGCCGTTTGTCAGCCGACCACTACGACAGGGCGGCGCGCCAGCGGGCGGTGGAAATTGGGGCCAGCACACGCGAATCGTTTGCTACCCCACCCCACCCCCTCCCCTCCCTTCCCNNCTCCCCTCCCTTCCCCCACCCCTCGTCCCACACACGCCGTTCTCTGGCGCACTCGCTCGCCGTGATGGACCAAGTGCTGCGATGCTTTGTACTTGACAAAGGCTTTTACATCTCGGCACGTAGTGAGGTCGCCTTCAGGATAGACGACCCGGAAAACACTTCGCCACGTTTTCCCCGACTTATTTGGTTCACCGTCCTCTTTTCGTGAAAAATTAAGAGAGAGTGTGTTCTAACGGAAAAAATTATTCTCGAAAACAAAAGAAAATATTGTAAAAATCTTGTTTGTTTGTTTGTTTTTTCTCTTTCTTAACGACATCCTATTATGACGAGCGAAAAAAACAACATAAATAAACCGCGAAGGAAAAACTGATACACTATAAAGACGCTAAATGGTGGTTAAAAAATGGAGTCGTTCAAAAATCCTTCGGTTACCTACTGGCTGGTTCGGTTACCTACTGCAGTAACATTTCCATCTCTCAAGGTTGTGTGGCCACGCGTATAGTATTGGTGACAGTTGAATCACATGATGAATCAAAAATTACTCGTAAGGTGTGAACGCAAATAATTATCTCTTATGTCATTATACTAATTGTCAGGAATTGCCGAATAATATCAACTTTGAATAATTGCAAACGTCGCAGCTGCCCACATACTTGTCATCTCATTACGGGGGATGGATTGGAGAGAAGACACAAGACAGTTGGGAGAGCTGCTTCTTCTACACCTCGCGAGAAAATCT